CCTTTTCAAAAACATATCTGCTGTTGTGTTTTGTTTCATTCTCATATGTTTTAGTAGTCCTTAATTACATTTCCAAAGCTCAAAATGCTCTGTTCCACCTTGTGATGTCATGAAGCTGTAGTCTTCAAGTGAACAGCTGCATTTTACCTTTGCTTCAGTACAGACTGATAATTCCAGGGCTGAAAAGATCCAAATGATTGTATGGAGTTTAAAACACAGTGGAGCACTTCCTGTATTACCTCATGACATCACAAGGTGTTTGAAAAAAGAACTCAGCCTAAATCTGCAAACACAACTCCAGGGAGTGTTAGTGATGAAGAAACAGGTTTAAGTCAGGTTAGTCTCAGAGTGGTAGTTGTTGTAGTAGGATTATGTATTAACGCAGTATTTATACTTCAATGCATATACTTGCTTGAGAACAGTACATTGCTTCGTCGTATGTTTCCTAGAAAACTTATGTAATTCTGCTTTTTGGATTGGAGTCTTAATGCAAGGTAACACAAGACACAAGGTTTTTCCATTGTAGAAGGAGCTGAGTCTGAAGGTTAATACTGCTGTGTACATGTTTTTGTTATTTAAGAAATGTATTACACACAAAATGACAGAAAATTATATCATGTTGAAAAGCTATTGACGTTATTAATCACACTGGGGTGCTCTGCATGGATGTCGAATATTTAGGAGTTACTATGGTGACACAATGCATATATTAAGAGGTTGAATTTATCAAAAAGGCTAAGGGAAAAATGAATTGAAAATGTACTTCCAGAACCAGAGCAGACTTCAAAGTGGGCGGGACTGTTGAGTTCCATATGGCAGGTCTGTGGAGCCAACCCCTATAGATGTGCTCCAACACAAAATGCCCCTGTCCTCCATCTGAAATGATCTGAAAACATGGATGCAACCGAGCATTAAAGAGCCCATATTACACCATTTTCTGATCTAATTCATATTTAGACTGAGTTCTTTCAACAGAAAACACCCCCCCTTGTGATGTGTGATGTCATAAACTTCACTAGAATCATATGGATGATTTCTAGCCTGATTCATTAGTTGGTTTCACTTCTTGGAAACTGTCTGACCTCACAGCATTACTCGACGGTAGGTGGGTACTTTTTTTAATTTAACTAATGGCTGTTATTTGGTCGTGACGTATGTAATGCACTAAATCCCATAGGAAGAAGGGCAATAACGTCTTTCCCCTTGATAAAATTCACCAAACATTCTCTTTGTTCTGGCTAAATCCTCGATCTCGGGAATCGTTGCCAACACAGAATGTCTGTCTTCGTCTACATCCTTCTGGGCCACTTTGTTTACTGTTGTGCTGTACCACAAAAGGGACCCAGACAGACGCTTCCCAGCTCTTCGCTGATTGGTTGGTGTGCAGTCTACAACTTCCGGGATTCTTACAAACTGTCTAGTGCACATGTGTCAAACATAAGGCCCGGGGGCCGGATCCGGCCCTCCGAGAACTTTAATCTGGCCCTCGGCTGATTTTCAACTAAAATATTTTAATGATATTTTCTATTAAAATTTTGGTAATTTTCTGCGGTGTTTATCACAGCAGCGTCTCCAGCGTCTCTGTGCGTGGCCCCTCCCACCAGAGCAGCACAAATGAAGACTTGTCTCTTTCCAAACGCTCTTAAAGGACGATCGTTTTGACTGTTGACCGTGACACCCTCATCAGCAAAATGTCAAAAATGAGAAAAGTTCACACCGAGTGCAGGATTTTCCAAGAAAAATTGACTTATTCCTATTTGCATACAAGTTAATGTTAAAACATTGTGTTGAAATTGCATTTTTCTTAAAGTTTCAGGTTGTTCATGATATTATATTTTGTAAAAGAAAGAGTTCATCAATTAAAAAATATTTCTGTAATAGATTTGTGTTTCTCTGCACAAATAATTGAAATTATTGTTATTTTTGGGGTTTATATGCCATGAGTTTTCTGGTCCAGCCCCTTTGGGATCAAAGTAGGTTGGATACGGCCCCCGGACCAAAATGAGTTGGACACCCCTGGTCTAGTGTATTCTGATTCCTGACCTAGTCGCTGGAGAGAAATGAAATTGAGTGAAGGCACTAGATGGTGCCAGCCTGGCTAGATGATTTCAGCCCTGGAATGCCAGTCTCTACTGAGCGAAAGGTGGCTGATAACATGGAAACTACCACAACATGACATCACAAGATGGAACAGAGCATTTTGAGCGTTGGAGATGTAGACAGACTAATGATAGGGTTAGGATTACTCAGATGTGTGTGAATGAAGAACTCCAGGTATGTTTTTGATGAGGTAACAACAGTGTAACATGGTTTAAAGCATAATATATAATATAATGTAATATGTAAATTACAAAACCAGTATCTGTGTTACATTTCATAAGTCCAAAGTACTGACATGTAATAACAAAGTAATTGACCCAGTTTATCTACTTACTCCTCCAAACATCTAATTATAGCCTATTTGGTTTAATTGAAGTCACTGTGTTGACTGTCTGTCAGTGAAACGCCACTCACACAATACAACCTCTGTGTTCTTCTGGCACTGCTGCATAAAGTAGACCAACATTCTCAGCTCACAAATGCCATGGAGTTTAGAAAAGCAATAAGATAAATAAAATAAATCTGTATTCAAAGAGACATGTATTATCAAGGCAAAAGTAATAACAACTTAAAAGTCCTATATTACGTAAAATTGACTCTTGTGAGTTTTAATCCTTGTTAGAATGTTAGATTATCTCATCAGAAATGGAGTTGCGTTGTGTTTTGTTTCATTCACACATGTTTGAGTAACCTTTTATTTTAGTCTGTTTACATCATCAAAGCTCAAAATGTTCTGTTCCACCTTGAGGTGTCATGAAGCGGTGCTTTAAAAGTTAACAGCTACCTTTTGTTCAGTGGAGTTTGCCAATTCTAGGGCTGAAATGATCCAAATGATTCTAGTGAAGGTGTATGCAGTTTAAAAACACAGTGGATCACTTCCTGAATAACCACATGACGTCACCACAGTGAAGAGGAGCAGAGGTGGAGTCCCTCAGCCTGACACAGAAGGAATGCCCAGACAGGTCGGATCTGAACCAGTCTGGGGCAGTTCCCCTGACACCCACACAGTTTTCCACCAATTTAAGAGTTGTGTGGTGAGCTGTGTGAAAAGCAGCAGTCAGGTCTCAAAGCACTAAAATGGCACAATCACCAGAATCTCTAATAACAGCTAATTGAATAATAGGTAATTAAAAACTTTTAAAAGTGCAGACTCAGTGCTGCGAAAGGACTTATAACCTGACTGGAGATTCTCTTAAAAATGTTATGGTGGGGAGGCTCACAATTAGGGATGTAACAATATCCAAATCTGTCGGTACGATATTTTCACGATATACATCTCACGGTACGATATTTATTGTGATATTTTGTGGAGCTGAACAAAACTGTGAATATGCTACTTTTTCCTCTTAAAATGCCTTGACAAGACTTAATCCAAAGAACTAAGACTTAAAAGTGCTTAGAACTGTTATTTCTTCTTGTAGTCTGCACTGAATGGAGCAAAGGATCATGGTCTGTGTAGTTCCCTCTGTGTTTTTTTCTTAGCTTCATTTAAGCATAATTAACTTCATAATAACCTCAAATGGTCTGGGAGATTGACAAAAAGTACTTCAAGTTTCTTAAAGGTGCATTGTGTAAATTTTCTGGTAAATGTTCTGCCAAATACTTTTCTCCATGGAGATGTTATTGCTTTGTCTGGGATGTTTCACAGTGTGGAATTAAACCTAAATCTTCATGGACACTAAATCAGATCAAGCTACTGATCAGATCTGTGGAGAAGCGACCACTCTTACAGCTGGAATGCCTGTTTTTCTAGATATTTTTGAGCAGTAAAACCACCGGTAATTGAATAAATGTAAGGTAGAACTGTATAATGTCATACTGTGGAACATTCTAGGCAAAGGAATGTGTGAACATACTGATAAAAACAAGCAGGTGATGGTAGCCTGATTCATGGAGACCGTCTGACCGTCTGATATGTTCGCTTGACGGTAGACGGGTACATTTTTATTTAACCAGTCGCTGCTATTTGGTCGTGACGTATGTAATGCGCCACTAACAGGGCCAACTGGTATATTAAGCTTTTCCCAAATCCTGTAGGAAGAAGGGCGATAACGTCTTTCCCCTTGATAAAATTCACCAGACATTCTCTTTATTCCCGGCTTTAAATCCTCGATCTCAGGAATCGCTGCCAACACAGAATGTCTGGCTCATCGCTGATTGGCTGGTGCCTGGACTTGCACTTCCAGAGTTCTTGCAAACCGTCCTCAACCAAAAAGTTTAAAGCACCTTTAATATAGAGTGTTTAGATTTCAAAATATAATAATATAATCAGCCATGTTCATCTAGGAGTAAAATATGCTCAAAGTTTAACGACCAATGTGATTAGAAAGCGGAAAGTGTAAGGCTACAGTTACAACTTTTTTCTAAGATAGGCTATAAAATGTTGTAGTATAGCTTACCTACATGATAAATATGTTTTGTCATTATGTGTGCAAAATTGCATTGTCTAATTAACTATTTCCAAAAGCAATAATGGTGTGCGTAAAATGTAGTAAAAAATGTAAATAATCCTTTTCATTTTTGCTTTTACAACATTTACTTTGAAAACTTGAACACTTACTTGAAAACTGAGAACATAACCAAACAAAAATATACAATCCAAACACACGAGGGCGCCGTTAGCCCTTCCTTCTCCACCGCGCACCTTCCGCCTGCTCCGCTCCGACGCCGTGATTGGTGGAAAAAACGAAGGCGTCACGCTGATTGGTCGAGTGCCTGTCAGTCTCAAAGCAGTGCCACTCATGCTCAGGATAGATTAGGCACCATTTGCCACAACTAAATAGTTACCCTTGTACGTGAAGTGAGGAGATTTTTTTTTCCTAATTGGTTCCCCACCGCTTTCGGCTTACACATCTCTTTACGTTACGCGCTCGTTTTCTACCCCGACGCGCACTCCGAATGCTTTCCAAGTGGTGTTCCCAAACAGATGCGGATCTACAGCGGCTCGGGTAAGTCACTATTTGGAAGCTTGTGTCATATTTACCACCTTTTTTACGTTCGCTTGCCCCCCTCCTGGTTGTTGGTGAGCCCTGACTGCTGCGTCCTGGCGCCGTGCAGAGAGGGGTATCGTATGACTGCGCGTTAAATCCTGACAACTCCGAGTCAGGAAGGATGTGATCGCTGTAAATAAACCGTGCACTCCCGTGTTTTTGTATCGCTGCTGCTGTTTCTTGTAGTTTGGCCAAGTTGCACCGCCGCTCGCTCGAAGTAAATAATAATAACATCGCGGCCAGTTGTTCGTAAAAGGGAATAACACGCCATTAGGAACTGTCAGGGACGATTTACGGCGTGTGTCACCCGGCTTTTCACGCGTTTTCTCTTCATTTTGCCTAATGGATTGCGCGGGAGAGAAAGGCACGTTTGGGTTATTGGCAACTTTTATCGCGCTATCAATTCTATTTGGAGTGACAGTTTTACATTGCGGCCAACAGCAGGGCAGCAGTGTTTGACTAAAGAAATGAGACTTGTCAGCTGATGTCTCTTTTTTTTTAGTGAGAACAGAGCCTTGGAGTTTGGATTTCTTTTGATAGAAGCGTAATTGGTTTTGGTTAGTTTTTTTTTTTTTGGAAACTAAAAAAACAAAGCACGCCACATAACTCAGATTTAGGCTACACGATTTAAGTGTCTTGTCCAAAGACACAATAACAACTTGAGTGTTCTATACAAACAAAATGCCAATGTATTAATGTCTCTGGTCTGATTTATTGCTTTTAGTATTCAAAAACACAATGTACGGCAATTATTTTGGATGTAGGCCTACGATTCATTTCCTAACAAAACTGCGCTCTGAATACTCTTGTAGTTGTTAAAGTTGCGTTAAGATGTCATTGCTTTGCCTATAGTGTTCCAAAGTATGGCATTAAACTTATCAATGTCCATAGAGACAAGCACAAGACACCACCAGGTCAGTTTACAGGTGAGATCTGTGAAGCGGTGACCCCAAAACTGTAAGAATTGAAATTTTGAAAGGCATTTTTGGAGCAATAAAAACACAGATAATGGAATGAATGCATCTTATATAAGTTTAATATCATACTGTGGAGGGCTTGTCAGATGAGAGCCTGGAATTTTTGCCGGGAAAATGTGGTAAAAAATGGCTCTTCTATGCTCCATGGAGATTTTAGATGTTGGAACTACAGTGTGTTAACTAAAGATTAAGCACTTGTAAAATAAACCAGGATAAAGCCAGGACTAAACCAAGTTTTCACTTTCGGAATAAAACTGGACTACGTGACAGTCAGAACCAAAACAAATCAGGTTACCAAGGAAACCAGATCTTAATCAGGACTACGCCAGGTCTAAAAGAAGTCCTAAAGCGGGTCTATAAACTAGTACAGGACCAAGTCAGGGTCTGACCCAACAAGAATCTGACTGTTCACTTGTATGAAAAAGGACAAGTCTAATCTAGATATATAGGCCTGAACCAGGACTAAACTAGGTCTAAACCAGGTCAGAACTATGCCAAGGTCAAAGGTCAAGGTCAAGTTTATTTTCTGGCATTTGTACAACAATCAGTATTGTCCTCTAAACCAAAATTGCTGTCATTGCTTTGCCTACAATGTTCCAAAGTATGGCATTAAACTTATCAATCCCCATAGAGACAAGCAAAAGACGCCACTAGGCCAAGTTACAGGTGAGATCTGTGAAGCGGTGACCCCAAAACTGTAAGAATTGAACTTTTGAAAGGCATTTTTGGAGCCATAAAAACACTAATAACTGAATAAATGCATCTTATATAAGTTTAAAACCAAACTGTGGAGCATCGAATTTTTGTCTCTTGTATGATCTAAGACTTATTTAAATGCATCTATCTGAATAATCTGCTGTATTGATTGTCTGTGGTCCTCTGATTCAAATTTCAATACGTGGCCCAAGGTGAAAAAAGTTTTGTTCTCTATGCAACATCATATTTTGCTCAAGAAAAGTTCTGCTTGATGTACTTTGCTTGGTGAAGTATATCTTGTATGGTAGTTAATATTAAGCCTATTTATGAGTTATTTATTAGTTCAGTAGGCTGTTTATTATTATTATTACCATCATGGAAGTTGTTAATGTTCCTGTTTTTATTGTAACATGGAAACGTCTCTCTCTGATCTGAATGGTCACTGCTTAAACTCCAAACCTGCAGCGAGTCGTGAGTCAGTGCTAGTGCAGCCTTTGCAGCTCAGGGAGGGAATTCTGGAGGTTCTGAGCTTTCACGTGAGGCCTCGTCGAGAATGAGATAAAAGTGTATGTGCTTTATATGCAGGTTAATGTACAACGCAGGCTCTGTTGTGATTGTAATACCCTTTTTAAATCTGTAAAACTCAGATTACATCAGGTTCATTTAAGGAGAAGCAATGACCAATGTTTGAACAGTAACTTGAACTATGCATGCAGGTAATATCCGTAAAAGGGCCATATTTTCTGATCTATTTTATGTTTCGTCATCAAAAACAGACCTGGAGTTGTTTTGTTTCATTCACACACGTTTAACGCACAAATCCTGCATATTTATCCCGAGTTTTTCTCTCTCTCAAACAGCCACGTTGTGATGTCATTTGGTAACACAAGAAGTCCTCCACTATGTTTTCAAACCCCATACCCTTTCAGTTTTTGTTTTTTATGAGCTTAACGTCTCTGTCCCTTCAAATAAACTAAGATGATTCTGCGCCACATTATAGCTAAATTACTAGTTTCCATCTGCAGTCTCTGATTTACAGGAATAAATTATACAATGCAGTACAATATATACAATTATACAATCTACTAGAATCATTTGGATAATTTCAGTCCTAGAATTGCCAGTGTCTGCTAAACAAAAGGTGAAGGGTAGCTGTTAACGTGAAACTAACCCTTCATGATATCAAGAAGAAGAGCATTTTGAGCTTTGTGGAGATTTTCAGCATGATAATAATTTCTCTTATGGGTCAATGAAGTTTGTCTAAGTACGGAAATATGTAATGAATGAATGAAACAAAACACAAGTCCAGGTATGTTTTTGAGGAGGTAATCGTATTCTAACATGGCTTAAAGGTCACGAAAGTCCAATCTCTGAAATATAGAACCATTAAAGAAGAAACCTACTTATTGTCCAAAGAGTATCAGCCCCTCTTCTTCATATTTCTCGTGTCTTTGGATTATTCTACGTCTTTTTCTCAAGCCCATTGTGCCCTCATTGCAGTGTGTAATTGCTTTTCTCCTGGGAGGCTGTGCCATCAAACTTCTAATTTCCTCCTCCAACCCGGAAACCATTTTGCGCGTTGTGGATGCAAGCCTCTAATGATGGCATCAATAAAGCAGAATCAAGCTCCCCACTTGTCAGATGAGAGCCTGGAATTTGTGCCGGGAAAATGTGGTAAAAAATGGCTCTTCTACGCTCCATGGAGATTTTAGATGTTGGGACTACAGTGTGTTAACTAAAGATTAAGCAGTTGTAAAATAAACCAGGATTAAGCCAGGACTAAACCAAGTCTTCGCTTTCAGAGTAAAACTGGACTAAAGCAAAATTAGGTTACCAAGGAAACCAGATCTTAACCAGGACTATGCCAGGTCTAAAGAAGTCCTAAAGCACGTCTACAAACTAGTACAGGACCAAGTCAGGGTCTGACCCAACAAGAATCCTACTCTTCACTTGTATGAAAAAGGACTTAGTCAAGTCTAATCTAGATATCTAGGTCTGAACCAGAACTAAACTAGGTCATAACAAGGTCAAGGTCAAGTATATTTTCTGGCATATACTGAACAATCAACATTGCCTTCTAAACCAGGACTAAACCAAGACTAAACCAGGACTTAAACAACAAGAATCCTATTGTTACTTGAAAAACTAAACTAATCAGGAAAAGCCCTAAACCAGGACCAAACCAGGACCAAACCAGGACCAAACCAGGACCAAACCAGGTTATACCATGGTCTAAATCAAAGGTCAAGGTAAAGTTTATTTGTAGCACATAAACAACACCCAATGTTGCCCTCTAGACCAGGTCTAAACCAGGTCTAAACCAGGACTAAACCAGAACAAAACCCAAACTAAATCAGGACTAAACCAGGTCATATCATGGTCAAGGTCAAAGGTCAAGGTGAAGTTTATTTGTAGCACATATACAACAATAAATTTTGGCCTCTAAACCAGGACTAAACCAGAACTAAACCCAAACTAAACCAAGGCTAAATCAGGTCATATCCTGGTCAAGGTCAAAGGTCAAGGTAAAGATTATTTGTATCACATATACAGCGCCCAATGTTGCCCTCTAAACCAGGACTAAACCAGGACTAAACCAGGACTAAACCAGGACTAAACCAGGACTAAACCAGGACTAAACCAGGACATATCATGGTCAAAATCAAAGGTCAAGGTGAAGTTTATTTGTAGCACATATACAAGACCCAATGTTGCCCTCTAAACCTGTACTAAACCAGGTCTAAACCATGATTGTGGAAAGAAATAGCAAAAGAGGTAGTTCTGTGTTGTGATAAAATTTGCAATACACTGTTTAAACATGTTGAAATAGTTGGATTCCTTTGATCCAGAGCAGAGCTGCACTGATCCAGATTCATTTCCGATACTCTTATCAATACTTCGACTTTAAGTATTTGCTGATACTCAATATTCACGGACAACGGCGTAGTGATGGAAAATGGCATTTATTTTCTTAAAACGCAGTTACCTTATTACACAAGAGATCCAATTGTGTTATGTAACTGTCATTTATCCTTCACATCACCACTGAACAGCTTCAAAAGTTCAATCATTATGAGACATTCTAGGCCAAATCAGCGTCTAAATAGTCTGATTATTACATCCAATGAAAGGCCCGGCCAGGATATCGGCTTAATCATGTAACAGACACCCCATCCAGCTATAATGATGGTATTGGTATCAGTGTATTTCTAATCCAGAGTGCACATTGTAAATAACTCTCAGAGCATTCACATCGGAGAGAAGATCAAAATGTAATCAGTTTTT